AGTATCGGATTAATTATCGCACACACGAATAAAAAGACAAAAGCAGAGACCGGGTAAGCCTGCTCCACTTCCTTCCTCTTGCTGAGTGCTTTCAAATTACTTTAGTTTTGACTAGGACTTCCACTAGAAAAGAGGAAGAAATTATGAGCAACTTATTTGGCAAACGTTTGGTAGTTAAAACTGTTGAAATCAATGGTTTAAATATAGATTTGGGACTCTATTTTACACTTGGCGATTTTAATTTTTATCTTCCCAAGCAGATAACATCAAGTTAATTATATAAAAATCAACCAGTGCAGAAAGTCTATTGGAGACCAACAGCCTTTCTTGACCCTTTGTAGACGTATCCCCCGATGAATTAGTTTTCAGATTTCAGCTGATGTTGAGTGGTTAGTACTCCCGCTTGCAATAGTGAAATGACCGTCTGCAATTTCTCAGCTATTTCAAACTAGATTTTAAATTATGAGGCTTAACGCATGCTTAGATAACTCTGAGTATTTGAGTAAACACTGCGTTTTTTATGATGAGCAAGTCATATGAGCCGTTTGGTGCCTTTCCTGCAATCCGGAGATTTGATATTTTCCTCCTGAGTTCTCAGTTGGATATTTTAAAAACATTCCTGAGATTGAATTAAAGCCTGTCAGAACTATGGATACATACATCGCTCTATGTTTATGGATGGTATTGAATGAAATTTGCCTCAATAAACAAAAATCCTTTCGCTACAGCATGATTTTTAAAACATTTAAAAAGCTGTTTGATCGGTTTCATTATTTTCATGTGGAAGCAACGCTGTAACAAAATTTTATTTCAAAGATGACATTGAATGTGAAGAAGTAACACTGTCAAACCAGAAAAGGCCATGAATAATCAGGAAAAGAAGAGGCTACTGACAAACGAGCCTTTAATGGAGAATCATCGCATTTCCAAGTTGCTTTGAGACATGAGCAATTATGCAGTTTCATTCCCAGATTTCCTAGATGAAGAAGCTGTGGCCTGCTGCTTAGACTGGATGCCTGTTCCACAAACCCTATCTTGGCTCTTCAAGCTTCCTCCTCCCCACGCTCCCTGAAAATTGCATTGATTTAAATTTCACAGAGAAGTGAGACATCATAGGTCACAAGCATCCTTGCTGTCTACAAACCCATGTCATTCTCTGCGAGCCTCCTATTTTGGAAGGTCATCCTCTCATCCATTGATCCATTTATCTCTGGAACTTAGGTCAAACCAACCCCTCCGCTTTATCTCTCCTGCATATGTGTTCAGTGTCTTCCTCTCTGGTGGCGCTTTCCCTCGGCTTAGAAATATGTTCAAGACTCCCCCGCTTTTATTAAACACACACACATTCATATCTGAACTTCCAAGCAAGATGACCTTCTCAAGTCATGTTTTGAGATCTTTTCTAGTTCATAGCCGTGATAGGTAAAATAGAAAATTGATCAAGGGGTGCCTGGGTGGCTCAGTCAGTCAAACGTCTGCCTTCAGCTCAGGTCATGATCCCAGGGTCCTGGGATTGAGCCCCACGTCGGGCTCCCTGCTCAGTAGGGAGCCTGCTTCTCCCTCTACTCCCCGTTCATGCTCTCTCTCGCTATCTCTGTCACTCTCTCTCAAGCAAATAAATAAAATCTTTAAAAAAAATTGATCCAATGCTGGTAAACATCTGCAGGTGGCAAACATTGGCAGGAATGGTACCAAAACCAAGAAGCTGAAAAGATCAACACATTGTACACCCTAAACTTATACCAAGTTGTGTGTCGTTATATCTCAATACAAATAAACTTTCAAAAAACATGAAGCTGAAGCTGCAGAACTGGGTCTGGAAGGCAGAGGCCCCTGAGAATTCAACCTCAGTGGGCAGTGTGCTCTGTGAGTGCGTTCCCTCAGCTCCCTGGAAGCCGAAGGAAGAGTTACCGCTCATTGCTGCCTGGAGCGTGTCTTCTCTGAAACTGTTTAACTAGGGGCAAAGGAGGAAGCAGATACTTCCTGGCAACCAGGACTTGAACTAAGCTGATCCGAGTCATAAATACTCAACAAGATTCTGGATTCAGGGCCCTGGGAGTCAGTGGGTGCAACCACAGAACTTCTCAATGAAGAAAGAATAGAGAGAAAGACAAACCCCCCCCAGTGAAGGTGAAACTACTAAACAAAATTCCAAAGCACATACGGGTAATTATTAGTAAGAGACAGCCAATAACACTTATCATAAGGTATAAGTCATATATATTAAAATAGAATTTGAAGAAATAAGTATATTTGGGACCCTCAAAGTGATAAAGGAATAATATAAGATAAAATGACAAATTAGGAGAAACATACAGAAATGAAACAAAAAGGAAGGAGAACGAAGGGGAAATATTTGAAATTAGAAATATGGTAATTGAAATGAAAAACTTACCAAAATAAACTCTAGGCTCACACAATTGGAAAATTGGTGATTGGGAAGATGAATCAATTAATTTAACACATTGAAGAGAGATGAAAGCACATTTAAGAGATGTGTGAGATCATTAAGAGCCTCCAATACATGTCTGATAAGTATTTCAAAAATAGAATTGAGACAATGTAATACATGGAATAATGAAAAATATAATGCCTGAAAAGATAAAGAATTGAAATTTGAAATGGCCTCAAGGTTCAAACTGCTGTGACAGTCTCCGTTACAACTTCTCTACCCTGCCGTTACAGACAATATGTAAATGCATGTGCTTGGTGTGTGCTGATAAAACTTTATTCATGAAACAGGCCGGTGGCAGGCTGAATTAGGCCAGGTGGCTGTAGTTTGACTGCCCCTGATCTAGAGTAGGAACCATTGTTTATATTTTCATGTATGTCCCTCCAGATATTTTGTATATATAATTTTACATATACAATTAACGATGGTTAATTGCTTATATATGCATACATATATCATGTACATCATACACACATAAAAAGGCATCATAACTGAATCATACAAGACTTGGACCACACTTGCTCCTCTGGGCACCCACTTTTGGACAACACTCAGTACCCATCATTGTATCTAAAAACAAAAAAATCCTACTCCTAAAATACTGATGAATGATGCAGGTTTTAACTAAAGTTTCTGAGGGACGGTGGAGGAGGGTGGACATCACACCACTCAACATAAAGCTTCCTAAAGGCCCCATTTGCTCACCTGTCTTTCCCCGCTGTTCCTCCTCCTGCAGCAGGCAGCTGATCTCCACCTCTCTGTCCACCTTCCTCAGTACCATCCTGCAGCTGCCGTGGTCCCTCGGTGCCCCCCTCACCCGGCTCTAAAAGTCCCTTCAGCCCACATATTCCAGCTGCCCAGGAAAACAAAGATCCAGAAACCACAGGCTCGGCGGGAGAAAATCTAGGTCCCCAACAATGGACCGACCACTGTATCATTTCTCCAGCACGTTCCAGGCAGGAGCTCGATTCATTCTGTCCCAGTATACCTCTCCATCACTGGTTTTAATGACCACGTAGTATTTCATTGTATGTATGTATCATTGTTTATATAACCAAGCCCCTAATTTTAAACAATTCAGCTACCATACAGAAAATATTGTATTGGTGGGGAGCCTGGGTGGCTCAGTAGGTTGAGCGTCTGCCTTCAGCTTGGGTCATGATCCTGGGGTCCTGGGATCGGGCCCCACGTCGAGCTCCCTGCTCAGCGGGGAGTCTGGTTCTCTCTCTCCCTTTGCTCTCCACCCCTACCCTCCGCTCTTGCGTGCTCTCTCTCAAATGAATAAATGGAGGAAATCTTAAAAAAAAAAAGGACGAAAAATTTTTTTTAAAAAAAGAAAATATTGTATTGGCAGAGTCTCACAAATCCATGCATTGTTGTCAGCCAATACAGTTCGTGCAACTGTGTGGAAAGCAAATTTTCAACATAAACTTTAGAAGTGTATTTTATCAGAAAAAAAAGATGTCTTTGAAATAGTAAACAAGTTTTTCAAAAAAGGCTCAGGGTCTTAAAACCTTCCTTTTTGTGTGACTGCAGGCAGGGTCCCCAGGACTTTGTGGGTTAGTTTCTCAGATCACAGGAACAAAAGCCATTGTCATTGGCTCCTTTTTTTTTTTTTTAAGATTTTATTTATTTATTTGACAGAGCGCACGCGAGAGAGGGAACGCAAGCAGGCAGGGGGAGAGGGAGAAGCAGACTCCCCGCCGAGCAGGGAGCCCGATGCGGGGCTCGATCCCAGGACCCCGGGATCATGACCTGAGCCGAAGGCAGACGCTTAACTGACTGAGCCACCCAGGCGCCCCTGTCATTGGCTCCTCTCATAAAATAGTACGATTTTGAAATTTGTATTCCTTTCCTGGGGCTCCTGTACCAAATTACTATAAAGTGGGTGGCTTAAAACAATAGAAATGTATTCTCTCGGAGTTCTGGAATCCAGAATTGTGAAATCAAGGTGTTGGGAGGGCTGTGCTCCTTCCAAAGACTCTTGGAGAGAATCCTTCCTTACCTCATCCAGCTTCTGGGGGCTCCAGGCCATTTCTGGCTTGTGGCTGCATTCCTTTAACTTCTGCCTCCGTCTTCACAGCACTTCCTCTGTGCCCATGTCTTCCCCTCTCTGTCTCTTATAAGGACATTTTGCCTGTGTATTTAGGGTCCACCTAGATAATCCAAGGTGGTCTCATCTCATGATCATTAACTTCATTACATCTGCAAAGATCCTTTGCCCAAATAAAGTCACATCCCCAGGTCCTGGGGGTTAGTACGTGGACATATCATTTTGAAGTCCACCATTTAACCCACTACAATATTGTTTTTAAATGTCCTGAGAACCCGAGGGGAATAATTCCTTTGATTCAATCATAAATGAGCAGAATGTGAATCAAAAATACTAGTATTCTTCCTAGACACTGGTGTACATTTGAATAATTTCTCTAATTTCTTTTCAGCTCTATTTACATCTTTAAGTGTCAGCAGTGAGGGTTATCAAGACAAACTAAAACTTCAGTAACTGGCTTTGAAACCAGTGTTTTTGGTTTTTTTGTTTTTAAAGCGGGCATCTCAGTCAACATTAGAATGGTCCGAACAGCAGATTAGGGCAGCTTCTGGTTTAGAGGAACTGCTGCGAATCACACACTTTGAGGACTGGAAGCTGTGGAGATGCCGAATGAAGCTCAAAAGTGTGACCAGCACAGACTCTCGCTCAGCATCCCATCGGGCCACCAGGTTTGCGGCAACTTTCTATGACATTGAAACCCTAAAAGGTAGGTGTGTGTGCGCGCATGCGCGCATGTAAGTGCCTATGTGTGCACACGCACGCATGCGTGTAAGCCAATTCTTGCTCTCTATCAGCTACCAACACATGTACCAGTTTCTTCCAAAGGTTTCAGTAGGGCAGGCACGTGTCCAGGAGAAGAAAAGGGTGTCTTTAATTTCATAGCTTTGGTGTTAGCAAAGAATCCTGGTTTCCTGTGTTTACTCTATAGAGAAATATATTCAGTATGATTTTGAGATCTAAAACTGACACAAAAGAACACTTCAGAATTCAGAAATATATTGAACTCAGAGATGTGAGTGCAAAACAAACCCAGAAAGACCATTCTTAATAGAAAAAAAAAAATCACTGGGCTTACTTAAAAACATAAAACAACCTAGGTGTTCATCAGCAAGGAGCATTCTACTGCCATACCTACATGAGTAAAAACCAATAGATTAGGCATGGCTTTTATATTCCTTCAAAATTCTGTGATTTTTTTTTTGTAGTAAAAATGAAAAGTAGAAGTTGGAAGCTGAGTTGTAATATTGCATACGGAGATTACTAGGCGATGGAGGTGGGAAATCCTCTAGACGAAAGAATCCGAACTCCAGACAAGAAATAACCTAATTTGAAATAAGGGGGATGATTGTTCCCTAGTAAGGTATGGAGGTTCTTTATAAGAAAACCATTGTCGGGCGCCTGGGTGGCTCAGTGGTTAAGGGTCTGCCTTCGGCTCGGGTCATGATCTCGGGGTCCTGGGATCGAGTCCCGCATCGGGCTCCCTGCTCCGCGGGAAGCCTGCTTCTCCCTCTCCCACTCCCCCTGCTTGTGTTCCCTCTCTCACTGTGTCTCTCTCTGTCAAATAAATAAATAAAATATTTAAAAAAAAAAGAAAACCATTGTCATATATGTACTGTGCCATACCGGAATGAAGCTTGCCAAGGAAAGTTGTGTGGCCTCTGATTAGGCATCTAACTTTTTGGATGACATAGCAACGCAACACAAGAAGCCAATGAGGCATTGTTGATCTAGCATTTGAGACTTGATTAACATATGATTATCTAGTAACAGATTGTATCTATCCCATAATGCAAATTGACCACTAAGCCAAAGTTAGTTTTTTTCTTTTTTCTAAAATTATCTTTTTTCCATTTGTAAAAAGATGATCATGTTGCACAGGCCCCTGTTGTCAGCTGTGGGGAAGGCTGAGCGTAGTTGGGATAAATCCCTCGGCAGCACGGCGGGCAGGAGTGTGAAGGGGATTCTTTGTGCTCGTGTGCAAGACCGTGTGTCTAAGTGAGTTGAGACAGCTGGCACTCTGGCCTAGAACCCACTGTAGCCCGGAGGTTTGAAGCTCTAGTTGTTTCTGTGTCGTGAATTGGCATGGACTTCATGGAAATAAAGGGGTCAGACCTCACCTGGAGATCCAAGGTCTTAACCACATTCCCTGTCTGAAAGTGTGAGGTGAGCCTGGAGATAACTCTGTGAGAATGGAGAGAAACAAGCATTTACCATACAACCAAGACTAGGCGATTAAAAAAAAAAAAAAAAAGTCAGTGACATTGACATTCTCTAATAAATATAAAAATATATTTTTAAAGATTTTATTTATTTGAGAGAGAGAGAGCACACGTGCACGTACACGAGTTGGGGGGAGGCGCAGAGGGAGAGGGAGAAGCAGGCTCCCCGCTGAGCAGGGAGCCCCACTGTGATGCGGGGCTCGATCCCAGGACCCCGGGATCATGACCTTGAGCCAAAGGCAGACGCTTAACTGACTGAGCCACCCAGGCACCCAAAAATATTTTTTTAAAAAACATAAAAATATGGAATTTTGCCAACTCTAAAATGTCTCTTATTACATGGGGGATCATCTGAAGTGATTTACTAAGTTAGAAGCGGTAAATAATCAAATCGATGTGCTACACCAATTGTAATTTGTTATCAACTCTCCCTCATGTGTTTTGGGGTGATTCCCTGAGGCAGAGCGGTCCTGCTGGGCAGTAGGAAAGGATAGCAGAGTTAGGAAGCTTTTAAGCAGTGGCATTAGTCATAATTCCACACAATTTTGATTAAAATCTTACCACTCCGACTTGCAAAACTTAGTTTTACAAAAAAGCAAATGGAAGGGAACATTTAAGTAGAATTTTAAACAATGTTTTCATAAGTTGACTACTTGTTTTTCCCAGGATTCGTGATTAATAACAGTGAATTAAGTAATACTCATATTAATGCCTAATTGGGTAATTTATCTCTCATGGTTACAGCCTTTAGGCTCTTTATATAAATATTCATAATTGGAAATTTAAAAGGGTCTCTTGTGTTAGAAGATTTTATGATGAAAAAACAAATTTAGGGCAAATTGTGTGGTGTATGCAGTGTTTCTCAGGTGGCCAAACATCTTGTCTTTTGTGTTTTCAGTGACCGAAGGAGCAACTTCTGAGGAATATTAAGATGGGGGGAGGAATAAAGATATGGAAAGGTGTTTTAAGGGAATAATTTAGACCCTTGGGTCGGATCTCCAACAATAATACCGTATCTGTATACTTCGAGCACAAGTTCTCTTTGTCCTTTCTAGTGGAAACATGTTCACATCTGTGGGAACTCAGAATAATGTGGGAAGAGATCAGTATAAACTTGAAGATGGGGTGAAAATGGAGAGGAGTTTCTCTATTGCTGCATAACACATTACCCTCAAACTTAGCTGCTTGAAGCAACATTTTTTTTTTTTTTTTTTTTAATCTCACAGTTTCTGTGGGTTAGAAATACAGACATGGCCTAGCCGGGTGTCTCTCCTTCAGAATCTCTCCAGAGGCTGCAGTCAAGGTGTCATCTTGGGCTGCAGGCGGCTTCTCAAGGTTTAATCCGGGCAGGATGTGTTTCCCAGTTTACTCAGAGGTTGTTGGCAGAACTCAGTTCCTCACAGGCCGTTGAACAGAGGGCCCCAGTTCCTCACAGGCTGTTGGCCAGAGTGGGCTCTCAGTTCCTTGCCATGTGGACCTTTCCAACATTGTCTCTTTTTCTTGTTTCCCTCAAATTAGCCAGAATGGCCAGAATATTGCTCCTGCCATCAAATAAAACTGACCTATTTCATTATTTTACTTAAACACCGGTATTGGGCACTCGCACATGAGAAAACCCTCGCTCGAGGAAAGATTAGTTCCACTGAAATTTCCGTTCATATAATTTGTTTGCCTTGAATCCTACCGTAGTTACTTAAGCAACCAGCAGGAATGTGTTTCTTGACGGTGCGAAGACCTACCCACACCTGACTTCAGGTAGAAGAAAGCTATCCAGCTGTGTCCTTAAATTGCTTAACAAATGACACTTACACGTTATTTCTTTACATGCTTCCGTTTACCTCCTTATTATCCAGCTTGTCCAGATGTACCCAATGTCGTTTTATAGGGAGATGGTGTTCTTTCCCAGAGAAGGTACTGTGTACGTGGGAAGGGGCACAGATTTGGGGTTTAATTTGTCTGAAAACAGTCTTTGGCTAAGGGATTGACAAGTTATCCATCTCGTAAGATAACTGGCACCACACATGTGAACATGACCGTGTCCAGCACAACCCTGGCGCGTGCTGGGCCAGTTCCGGGGCCGGCCCCCATGAGCTTCCTCTCTGCAGTGATAGATGAGGAATGGCAGCGGACCCAGTGCAGCCCCCGAGAGACGTGCGTGGAGGTGGCCAGCGAGCTGGGGAGGAGCACTGACACCTTCTTCAAGCCGCCCTGTGTGAACGTGTTCCGGTGCGGCGGCTGCTGCAATGAAGAGAGCCTCGTCTGTATGAACACCAGCACCTCCTACGTTTCTAAGCAGGTAGGAGGGCATCCGCCACTGTGCCCCGCTCCGAAGGCCCCAGGACAAGCGTGTTGACACTCACCGGTTTAAATGCCCTTGTGGGCACCATCTCATTTAATCCCCGAAACAAGCTCAAAGGGTATCCTTTTTTTTTTTTTTTAAAGGTTTTATTTATTTATTTGACAGAGAGAGAGAGATAGCGAGAGCAGGAACACAAGCAGGGGGAGCGGGAGAGGGAGAAGCAGGCTCCCCAGCGAGCAGGGAGCCCCATGTGGGGCTCGACCCCAGGACCCTGGGACCATGACCTGAGCCGAAGGCAGACGCCTAACGACTGAGCCACCCAGGCGCCCCTCAAAGGGTATCCTAATATCCTCCTCTGTAGATGAGGAAACTGAGCTCAGGGAGCTAATCTGTGGCAGAGCTGGGACTCAAATCCCGGTCTGTGGGACTCCAGGGCCTGAACTCTTTATCAGCCCCTGGTCTCTCTGATGCTGTAATGTCAAGAATCAGAAAATCATACGGGAGTTAACTAGAACAGACCATAAAAGGAATGAAGACATCTGCACTGTCTCGTGTATTCGTTGGGTTCTGTGTTGTTCAAGTGAGAAGAGGTGGACGGGTGGTGTGGGCAGGGCTATGGGAAGGAGGGAGGGCTGGTGAAGTGCCCAGTGCTAGCAAAAGCGGTGAGCTGTTGCCACCCTTGGGCCAAAGAGGCTAGGGGCTCGAGCAGTTTCAGGAACGCAGAGAGAACGGGGAGACGAGAGCTGCTGGACCAGTTGGAGGCGTGGCGGCAAGGAGTTGGGGGCACGGGGTGGAGGAGGCAAGAGGACTGACAGATGCAGACGTGGAGGTCAGCATCTTGAGACCCAGAGCCCGGTGGGGAAGGAAGGAGGGAGGGCGGCATCTCTGGGGGGGCAAATGGAGCGCATCTAGCACAAAAGATCTTTGAAAGTTAGTCTGTAGTCCCCATGAAAGAAATAATTCTTCCCTCTCCCTCTTGTAAAATCTCTTTTGCCCAGTAGGTAAATTCTCTTTTCTATCACTACCGTATTGTTGTCAAATGTAAGAAATGTTGCATTGAAGAGCAGTAATCACAAACTTATGAAAACATATGAAAAGGCTGTAAGTCCAACTACATTCCTTTTGGTTCTGTGTTGCACATTCCTCGTGCATGTTGATGTATTCATTCAGTTGTCACATTGACCTATGCAGTCTGTTCTCTGATTGTGAACAGAGGTAGTATAATAAAATTACATATGCAACGAATATATCCATGGTAGGAAATTGTCTTTTTTTATAAAAAATATTTTAGGGGCGCCTGGATGGCTCAGTTGGTTAAGCGACTGTCTTCGGCTCAGGTCATGAATCCAGGGTCCTGGGATGGAGCCCCGCATGGGGCTCCCTGCTCGGCGGGAAGCCTGCTTCTCCCTCTCCCACTCCCCCTGCTTGTGTTCCCTCTCTCGCTGTCTCTCTCTCTCTCTGTCAATTAAGTAAATAAATAAAATATTTTTAAAAAAATGTTTTTTAGAGATGGCACCAGGAAGGGGAGGGGCAGAGGGAGAGGGAGAGAATCTTAAGCAGGCCCCACGCCCAGTGTGGAGCCCGACGCCAGGCTCGATCTCACGACCCTGAGATCATGACCTGAGCTGAAATCAAGAGTCAGACGCTAAACCAACTGAGCCGCCGGGGGCACCTCCACCCGTTTACAGAGGAAAATTATCTTAATTGGATGGGAAGAATGGAATGCTGATTTGTTTGATAATAGGTTAACTTATCCTTAATTTTGTTCCCCCTACCTCCTAAAATATCCCACAAACTGTTGAGTTTCTTTTTCTAAATTCTTTTAGAGAATCTTGGAACTTGTAAAAATTCTGACCTCTTACTATTTGACAGTCGGGGGGAAATGACATAAGTATGGCTAAGCATCAACTGTCAGTAGAAGCAAAGCTCGCATAATGTAAGAGGCTTTGGTTCACGACCATGTTGTTCCCTAAAGCATAGCTGAAAAATTTCGCAAGAATACGAAGTTTATGCAAGGTAAATACTCTAAAAACATTCTCTTACTTAGACTCATAAAGGGTCCATTACATATCAAAAGGTCAGAATAAACACAACTTTAATGGATTGTTTCCACTTAACAGATAGTTGAGTACTTTGTTTTGACTGTTGCACTCAACAAATGATTAAAAGAATGTACTTAAGTGTGAGTCTACAGCAGTTTTCCTTTCCAAATATGCACACTTGAACATTTTAGTGGCTTGAAAAAAACTACCTCTCACCCCAAAGTTATGGGCTATCTGATGAAATACATCTTTGAAACTAAGTGAATAAATGAATACTCTGTGTAGTAGAATGGGGATTGAATGAACAGAACACTAAAATCAAGTTCAGATTTATCCATAGAACCAGTCTAAAAACAAAGTAATTGACATTTCTCTGAATTCTACTTGGCAAGATCCCACCTTGCTTCTTCGGGTCATGGACATTTTGTTCCAAAAAGTAATAAGGCATATTCTTAAGAGTATGAGCTCTGGCTCTAGAGCAGACTGCCTGAATTCAAATCCCCTCTCTTCCAATAAATAGTTATGTGGCCTTAGGCAAGTTATGTAACCTCTCTGTACATCTGTTTCTCCACCTGTAGAATTGGAGGTGGATAAAGAAAAAAACCCACCCTGCAATGTTGTTATAAGGGGTAAATGAATTAATATAAAACAGGACCTGGCATATAGAAACATAGAAAGAATGATATTCATGTTACCTATAATTATTTGGTTGGGCACGATGATCTTGTATCAGTCAGGTATTACTGTGTAATACACACTCTAAAACTTCGTGGTTTCAAACAGTAATGACTTATTCTTACCCATGTATTCAAGGGTCAGTTAGTTTCGAGTGGGCTCAGTTGGGCTTGACTCCAAGCTACAGGTTAGGTGCAGGTCTGTTCCTTGGGTCTCCCATCCCTTCGGCCAGCACACCTGCCAAATCATGCTCTTCTCATGGCTACAGCATACGCAGGAGATGATGAGCCCACAAAGCCACACACAGTTCAAGTTTATAGTTGTGTCATGTCTGCTAACATCCTGCTGGCCAAAGCAAGTCACGTAGCCAAGTCCAAAGGACTGAAAAGGAAAGAAAGGACGCAATAATCTATTCACCATGGTCTCAAAGAAACTTCATAGCTATAATTTCATGTAGTCCGTATAATTTACACTCACATTTCAAATAGGAGCAGGGACTAACAGTGCCTTTTACAGGGGTACCAGTGACACCGAAAAGTTAAGAGATTTGGTCAAGCTTAAATATTTGGTAACGTTGCGTAAGCCCCCGGTCTCCTGACTCCCAGCCCAGCATCCTTTCCGTCATGCCAGCCCTTATCCTTATTAGTTCTATTGTTAATGGACAGCTTTGCTAAAGTCACTACCATAAAGGACAAAGGCAAAAATGCAGGCTATAGAAATTATTATCTAACAATATATATGTGTTATGGTTCTTTCTCTCTTCTAGCTCTTTGAGATATCAGTGCCTTTGACTTCAGTACCTGAATTAGTGCCTGTTAAAGTTGCCAACCATACAGGTTGTAAGTGCTTGCCAACGGCTCCGCGCCACCCATACTCCATTATCAGAAGATCCATCCAGATCCCAGAAGAAGATCAGTAAGCACTTATTGTATTCAGTTATGTTTGTTCTTGCGTTTGCTAAAGTTGTATGTGGAGAATACTTCATTAATTAGGTGTTAGATGTATATTGCAGTAGGACCAAAAAGCTCAGTGGTTACGAACTTACCCATCTACTTATAGACACCTTTGTTCTATTTTTAAATTATTTTATTTATTTATTATTTATTTATTTATTTTGGAGAGAGAGTGCGTGTGCGCATATGAAATCAGGGGGTGGGATAGGGTTCGGAGGGGCAGAGGGAGAAGGAGAGAGAGAATCTTAAGTGGGCTCCATGCCCATGCCCAGTGCAGAGCCTGATGTGGGGCTCGATCTCGCCACCTGAGATCGTGACCTGAGCCGAAATCACGAGTCAGATGTTTAACCAACTGGGCTACCCAGGCGCCCCTAGACACCATTGTTCTTCTTCTTTTTTTTTTTTTTTTTAAGATTTATTTATTTATTTTAAAGAGAGAGTGAGCATGGGTGGGGGGAGGAGCAGAGGGAGAGGGAACGAGAAACTCAAGCAGACTCCAAGCTGAGCATGGAGCCACACGCGGGGCTTGATCTCACGACCCTGAGATCGTGACCTGAGCCTAAAACAAGAGTCATGCTTAACTGACTGAGCCACCCAGATGCCCTGAAACCTTTGTTCTTAATATGCATAGTCCAGTGCAGCAGTTGTACAACTCTACTACAGCCTCAACTTTGGCTCATGTCCCTATTCCAGAACAAGCATTACATGAAACTCATTTCCGGCTGTTTATCCTTTTAACTCCCAAAACTGGGGGAGGGGGGAGGTTCCCAAAGTCCCTGAGAGTGGCAAAACTCTCTGCATCTGGTGACTTTTCTGACTTTCCTCTTAAGAGTACCAAATGGAAAAGTCTTATTTTAAATTAAAATGGCTTAAAATTAGTTTGACTTTGAAATTTCCTGAGAGTAATCTGTGGTTCTTTATGAGACAAATTATGACGCCCTGGTGTCCTGAAATCAAAGGTAAGAATCACTGATCTGAGGCGGGGGGGAAGAATTCCGTAAAGAGAAACAAAGGGCAAATGCCAGTGAACGAAAACCTAAAGTAACTAAGTTAGATACTTAGATCTTGCAAAAGTGGAGCAGTCAAAGTATTGGGTGGGTGGCAAGTGGAGTGAGCTGGTGCTTATGTTAGTTATTACCGAGCCAAAAAGACACTTCTATTGCTCTCAAGCAAAAAAGAAAGCTCCTATAAAAAGAACATTTATCCTCAGGTTGTTCCTGCTGTCCTCGCCAGTGTTCTTTTCTCCATTTTATTTTATTTTTAAAGATTGATTTATTTATTTGAGAGAGGAAGAGAGAGCATGTGTATGGGCCAGGGCGAAGGGCAGAAGGAGAGAGAATTTTAGGCAGGTTCCACGTCCAGCGTGGAGCCTGACACGGGGCTCGATCTCATGACCCTGAGATCACGACCTGACCCGAAATCCAGAGTCGGGTGCTCAACCGACTATGCCACCCAGTCGCCCCTTATCTCCATTTTAAAGAAGGTAGTGCTTAAGAGCTATGTCAGGACAATGTTTACTTTTGGTAAATAAGCTCTGTCGACAGCTAATTTGCACCGTTTTAACAGTAGTCTTCTTCAAAAGATTATAAATGTCCAAAATTACAGTTTAGTTTCCTAATAGAATATTTGTGCTTACAGAATTACTATCTAATCACACACGGTTCATAAATGTGGATTAAGCTCCTTAAAAATCTTAACTCTTCTCCACTCAGAAATCAACATTTTTTTTTTAAAATGCCCCAAAGGTATGATTGCCCTTGAAAGGTTTTAAATCTGGCTTATTGTTTTCTTTTCCTAGCTGTTCCCATTCTAAGAAACTCTGTCCTATTGACATGCTGTGGGATGGCGACAAATGTAAATGTGTTTTACAGGAGGAGAATCCACTTGTTGGAATGGAAGGTAATGATAACAGTAAGGAAATAATAATAGTAATAATAAAAATAACAATTGTAACTAACATCTATTGAGTGCTTACTATGACCCGGCAATGTTGTAAGCCTTTTAGATGTATTAACTCATTTAATCCTCACAACAATCTGTAATGTACTATTATTACCCCTTTCTTTTTGCAATGACAAAATGGACACACCAAGATGTCTCGTCATTTTCTCCAGATTATACAGCTAAGAGTGATAGAAGCAGTCAGGTTCCAGAGCCCTCTGTGTTCTCATTATACAGTTAAGTCTACCGATGCATGACTCTGCGTTTTAATCTTGAAGAAAAGCCCAGTGATTAGAGCATCCCACAGCATTGGATTTGAAAGGCACTGGTAGCCTTTCATGAAAGCCACTTCAGAGCTAAACACTAGTCAACCACATTTTACTTAATTGATTTGTATAAAAGTCTCACAGGAACATAAAGTAATTTTAGACTTGTTGGTTTCTTTCAACGGTGGCATGTGAAAACAGGCCAATTATTTGAGAAAAAAAAAGGGGGGAGTAGGAGAAAACTTTTTCTGAAACTAGGGCAAAGTAAAAGCAAAACACGGCTAGCTATTGGGCTAAGAGGAGTTGGGAACCAAATGTCGTCACGGCTCAGAAGTCGTAATGCTGTCTTGTTTGGTGATGACTCTTTGGCTGAAAATGAATGCATTGTTAAAATTGATTTCCCGGAGAACTTGACAGGATTCCACTGAAAAAAATCACAAGGAGTCGTGCACTTTGAACCTTGCTTGTTTTAAACTATGATCTACAAGCAAGACTCTGTAAGGACTAAACTCTATGCAATACTGTCCTAGAAACCATAAATAACAGTCTATTTTCTAGACTTCTGTCTCTCAGCTTCCTTCTGAATGCTTTCATGAAAGCTCATGCAGGTTTTGAATGTCATCTACATCCTTCCCTCCAAGTGTTCAGATTATCCTCTGCTAGAATATACCTCAGTCATGGAGAAGCCTGCCACCCACCGGGGCAGCCCAGTTACCCTGGGCACACTCCTGTTGGTTAGTAAGCTATACTGAACCTCAGTCTCTCTCTCCAGAACAGGACTGTTCAATGGAACGACAGTGAGAGTCATGTATGTAACTTACACTTTGTAGTACTCACATTAAGAAGGTCAAAAGGAACAAGTAAATTTAATTTTTATATATTTTTATTTAATCTAACATCAAAATAGAATCATTTCAACATACGATCAATATACAGTTAATAAAGGAGATATCCTGGGGGGGAGGGACTCAGCTGGTGCACGTGTGTGCTGAGGAAAAGAGAGCAGAACTCTGAGCAGGGCAAACATGAGGGCTCAGGACTGGAAGTGAGAGAAGGTAGCATGTCAGTGTGCTAAAAAAAAGCTCAGCGTGGTGCGAACATAACGGGAGAGGGCTGGGTAGATGTGAGAGAAGCTGGAGAGGTTCACAGGGGACCTTGGGCACCTTGTCCCAGAGACTGGATGTGATGCTAAGGGCAAAGGGAAACCTTTCAACTGGTTCAAGCCGGAGAGTGAGAGCACCAATTAGAATTTTTTTTTAAAGATTTATTTATTTATTTTAGAGAGAGAGAAAGAGCACGCACATGAGTTGGGGGAGGGGCAGGGGGAGAGAATCTTCAAGCAGACTTCCCGCTGAACACGGAGCCCAACATGGGCTCTAGCTCATGACCCATGAGTTCCCGAACCATGAGCTGAAACCAAGAGGCGGACACTTAATGGACTGAGCCACCCAGGCACCCCATGGCAGCACCGATTTGAATTTTAACACACTCCACCAGTGACAAGGTCGAAGAGGATGTGTTGGCCCAGGGCAGGAAAGGCAGCAGGGGACTTTGGGGGAAGTTGTAGCAGTGATGGAAGTGAGAGGCATGGGGTAGCTAGATCACGGTCACTCCTCCAGTGGCCTCGTCAAACTGATGACATATACTGAGTTTACTGTTCACTAAACACCCTTTTCACATTATGTGGCTGTTACGCCAACTGCCTTTTCTCCATCTACAATGTCTTTTCTTCCCTGAATGAGCGAGCACGTGTGGGTTAGTGAATCCAAGACCAGTTCAATTTCATCTCACTGGATTCAGGTCATAGCTTTAAAGTGTTACAACAAACAATACCAAAAGAGAGAAAAGAAAAATTGGGGAGTCCTCATTTTCTATTTTAAATTCTTCCAGATAGCCACAACTTCAAGAATTTATTTGGAAAAAGTCCATGAGCTTATTGAGAAAAATGATGAATGAAACAAGGCTGGGAACAGAACTCATGGCATACCATCATCAACCTCCCTAGGATTGAAATCAATATATAATACTTCAGGGTATCACCCTTAGCTAGTTGCTGCTTCACTCAGTTCTCCTACACCCAGTCTCTGTTGCTTGTTTTTTTTTTTTTTTTTTTAAGTAATCTCTACACCAAAGTGGGGCTCAAACTCGTGACCCTGAGATCAAGAGTCACATGCTCTACCACCTGAGCCAGCCAGGTGCCCCAGTCTCTGTAACTTTTAATTAATCCCTATAGGGATTCAAACCAGCCTCTGCCAACTACCTTGCTATAGCTCAACAAACACCTAGGGGACTGTTTCCCTAAAGCACCGGAAGGGCACTGGTTCTACCGGAAGTGGTCTGAATGAATCTCTACCGCCACCCAGTGAATCATGCTAGTCTTTTAAGAGCTATTTAACTATCCTTTAACAATCTGTTTTGTTTTGTTTTGGTTTTTAGTTTTTATTTTAATTCCAATATGGTTAACATACACTGTTATAGTAGTTTCAGGTGCACAATACAGTGATTCAGCAATTCTTTTGAATTCCACATCACCTGGTGCTCATCACAGAGAGTGCCCTCCTTAATCCCCATCACCTGGTTCCCCCATCTCCCCACCCACCTCCCCTCTGGTAACCATTAGTTTGTTCTCTAGAGTTAAGAGTCTGTTTCTTGGTTTATCTCTCTCCCTCTTTTTTTCCTCTTTGCTTGTTTTGTTTCTTACATTCCACATAAGAGTGAAATCATAAGGCATTTGTCTTTCTCTGACTTATTTCACTTAGCTTTATACTCTCTAGCTCCATCCATGTCGTTGCACATGGCGAGGTTTCATTCTTTTTTATGGCTGAATAATATCCCACTGTATACATATATACCACTTCTTCTTCATCCATTTATCAATCAGTGGACAATTCCAGACTTGAAGTTATATTATTAAGCTGTAGTCATCAAAACAGTATGGTACTGGCACAAAAATAGACACAGAGATCAATGGAACAGAATAGAAAACCCAGAAAGGAACCCACAATTATATGGTCAATTAATCTTTGACAAGGCAGAAAAGAATATCCAATGGGAACAACCTATTCTCAACTTGCCCCAAAGTGGCATATGCCTCATTGGCATATGGCTTACAAAGCTCACCTTTCTCCTCTTCACGCAATTCCAAGAATCTCCCCAGATCTAGCCTTCCAACACCTTTTCCGCCTGGTTCCTTGAATATCATCAACCACAGAGCGGTTAAAACTATGACGTTAGACAACATGAGATTGCCATTTTGATATACTATCAGCAGTCAGATATTGACAAGAACGTATGGTTTAACTCAATGTCTTGGAACGATGGCTGGGATTCTTCAGAGTCTTCATACATCAGCCTGTTTCAGGACCCTTTTATTACAGCAGATGAACTCAACATTCATCACGTGCCTATTTTATGTCAGAATGGTGAGCTCTGATTCCTATAACCTTTAGCATTTTTAATTCATAGAGGAAATAGACAAATGTAAACAGTGCAAGAAAGGACAGGGTGGAAATACGCACAGGGTAAGGGCACTTAGCTAAACTTGTAGAAGTTGGGAAAGATACCTGGGGAGGTACCTGATGGGCAGGGAGAAGGGCAAGGCCAAAAGCATGGAGCTGAGAGACCCTGGCATATCGGGGGAACAAAAAGTAGTATAATTTGGTATGGATGGAACATAGGATACATATGAAGTGGGGGACAGGGGAGAGGGAGAGAGAGGAGCCTGGGAGGTTAGTAAGATCTAGTTTATGGAGGGTCTCATATGTCCTGGTGGGAAGATAGTCTTTTATTGGGAAACTTTTAAGGAACTTAAAGCAGTAGAGCGATGTGATTAGATTTGCATTTGATAATATTGTGGAAAATGGATTGAAGGGGTAAAACTTGTGATGGCAAGATCTGTGAACCTTCAAGAATGCTCAAGTGTCACAGTCAAGTTCTTCCAAGTTTCTATCTCTTCCATTTCCTGCACTGAATGTCAACTTGATGATCAGAATTGGACATGGAGTGGTAGTTACCCAATTGTTGTGTACACTTTCTAGAAGAAATAGCTGTCAACTCAGTGTGTCAAAAACCTCTCAGACCCTCCTCTCAGCTGAACGTATTCTTCCAACAGATGTCTGTGGAATCAGAGTTTATCATCACTGTTGTATCTTTTATAACAGCATTGTGGTCCGTGGTGAGGAACTACATCACGGTTTCTGTCCACAGCCTGGAAGGTCTGAGGTGTATTTCTATCATGCCTATACCTCTGTTCCTCCCTCCTTTTAATCTTCGTCTAAAAAACTGGGAAGGACCAGACTCATAATTCTTAGCTAGCCTATGTTTTCTTCCTAATACTTGGTTGTGAAAGTTTGCATTTTGTGCCAAGTCACCAACCAAAAAATCTCTTTAAAAATGCTATCGAAAATAGTCAGCTTATAGCCTCTTTCTCACCAACTTAAGAGAACACATGAATTCAGTGTTTGTATTATGAAATCAGAGGTGAACGTCCTTCACCACGTGAAAAGATGAGGGAGCAAGAATCTACAGGAAAGGGGGTTAGGAGAACCCCAGTTATTTTTAGAATAATGGAAAGTACACAGCCGCTTCGATGCCACTTATCTGTGCTGCAGCCATTTGAGCAACCCTTCTCTGTTTCCGTTTAGACCACTCTCATCTCCAGGAACTGGCTCTCTGCGGGCCGCACATGAAGTTTGACGAAGATCGTTGTGAGTGTGTCTGTAAGACGCTGTGTCCCAGAGATCTCATCCAGCACCCAGAAAACTGCAGTTGCATGGAGTGCAGAGAGACCCTGGAGAGCTGCTGCCAGAAGCACAAGATATTTCACGCAGAAACCTGCAGGTCAGAGGCATTTTCACTTTTATCGTCATTTGACCCACTGACACTGAATGTGAATGCCCTTCCGATTTGGTGAGATTCCTTCTTAAAGCATTGTTCGCAGTGCCCAAGCCCCTTTTCTGGATAGTAAAACAGAGGTTTGGCAACTGAGGACGAAGTGAGAGTATATAGAGTGATGATTAAGTGTGAAAGCAAGACAATCCTGGGGCGCCTGGGTAGCTTAGTTGGTTATGCGGCTGACTCTTGGTTTCAGCTCAGGTCCTGATCTCGGGGTCCTGGGATCGAGCCCCGTGTCAGGCTCTGCGCTCACTGGGGGGTCTGCTTGAGACTCTCTCTTTCTCTCTCCCTCTCCTCCTCTCAAATAAATAAATAAATCTTAAAAAAAAAAAAAAAAGGAAATCCTGCCTGCTATTGCTGGGTATGGATCTTCAGCAAAAAGTTAATTGATGAGATTTAAACAATTATTTGGGGGGTGAGTTTCAGATCAGCAGACTCTTTGGTTTGATCTCTCTCCATATATGTCCACCTACCTATGTTTGTTTTTTCTTTGAAGAAGGGGCTGGCACTGGATTTATATAGCAAGAAATTCATTGATTAGTAGAACCCTTACAGGTTACCGTTTGGGCTTTCATAGATTTTGCATCCATGTGGAATAACCATTCAGGATTTTATATTGACATTTTCAATACATATCTGGAAAATTCACTTGGATAAATGTAATCAAATCAGAACAGAGTTATTCCTTTGAATGTAGTCCTTGATTCTGAATTGTCATGTTTATTTTCTTTTGCAACAGCTGTGAGGACAGATGTCCCTCTCACACCAGAACATGTGCAAATGGAAAACCAGCATGTGCAAAGCATTGCCGCTTTCTAAAGAAGAAGGCTGCCTGTGGGCTCCACGGTCAAGACAATCCTTGACTCAAATTTGTTCCTAAGTTCCCCATCCCTGACATTTTAAACAGCATGCTGCTTTGCCAAGCTGCTGTCACTTTTTTTCCCCCCAGGTACTACAAAAAAATCCATTTTACGCAGTCCCACGGTGACTCCAGATCACCCTTCCATTGCACACCAGCTGAGGATTCCCTGGTTCACTGACAGATGTCTTCCAACTGAGATGGCCCTGCATACAGAGAATGGAGAGGAGGGGACCTGTGTAAACACTTTTTCTTTCTTTCTTTCTTTTTTTTTTTTTTTTGGTGAATGAAAAGGGTCTGATCATCCTAGAATCAGAGGGGCCATATAATTGATTACTCCAAGCCCATGAGGCAATTTTATAGTCTCCAAGTCCTTTGCTAATGCAACTCTCTTGTGAACCATTCTGACTCTTTATTATGCAGATTTTGATTTGTAGGATCAGCCCTGATTTTCTGATTACTGTCCAGCTTGTAGTTTCGAGTTTACTGAACTACTGTCTGTTGTTTCATATTTAAGTGTATTTAAAGAAAATAAACACAATTATTCAGGCCATGGAATTTTGTGTTCTTTAATATGGTATCACTCTAAATTTTATGCCAAAGGACAAAAACATGTTTTGCAGAGAGAAAGGAATTGAGAAGGGGGAGGGATGGGGAGAGACATGGGCACAACAAAACTTGATGTCAGTTTGGGGAAGCCCCGGGAGTAGCTCTCAGAAAGTTTAAGATTCTAAATGAGGCTAAGCGTCTGCCTTCGGCTCAGGTCATGATCCTGGGGTCCTGGGATGGAGCCCCACATCGGGCTCCCTGCTCAGCGGGAAGCCTGCTTCCCCCTCTGCCCTCCACCCTCATGCTCGCACTCTCTGTCATAGATATATAACATCTTTAACAATACATACATACATACATACATACATACATACGGTTAAGCAAGTGTGACCCAAGAATCAGCTGTCTTTGCTTTGAGATTCAATTTAACTTCACTTGACCCACATCTCACGATGGAGGAGAGCCCACTGACCCTGATGTCTTTGAGAACTTGCGTCTTCTGGGCGCCTCCGGCTCCAACTTTGTGCACTGGTTCTCTGGTCGTTCACATCTCCCTTCTCATGGCCAAGGGATTCTTCTCTCTGCCCCATGGCCACCCAGGAAGGGAGCATGGGCCTCTTCCCTTGCTTTTTCTCCAAAATATTCCCACAAATACTTTTTTGATGGCATAGACTTTACTGAAAGTCTGGTAAACCGGAGGGAGTTAGATAGCATTAGCAGAATGAAGGTAGCTTTACGAGTATTAAGTGTTTTTAGCAAATTAAAAAGTTAATGCACAGAATCAAGTTGTTTAGCAAATAACTTAAAAATGGATGCCCTCCCCAGCATCTTGCAGAAATAGAAAGATCGATAGATACACAATCTATTACAACACTTCATCACTTTTGTAAATAGCTGTGTTCATGCTTCTCTCTCCATACAGTGCGACCTCCTTACAACTGGAAACTGTCCTGATCAAATTTGTGTGACCCAAGCTGTACAATAACAAGGGGGAAGATGATGATCAACAAACACGGCAAAATAGTTTTGTTTCTCCTGATGCCGCATAGTAGAATTGCTGGATCCTGGCCCAAATCCCTGCCCTTCCTCTCCCGGGCCCCTAGCAGTTCCTGAATTCTCCTCTCGTTCTCCCAAGTCCTCTGTGGCCTGTGGCTCCGGGCCCCTGCTCCCTTCCTGGCCTTAGTTCTCAGTCTCTGCCCTGGGGACATGGCTGATCTGGACCTAGCTTGGGACCAGTCCCCATCATGCTGCCATTATCACTTCTGTCATTTGCTGGCTTTGGCCCAGTCATTCCTCTCCTGTCACTGTTCCTCTTGCCCCTGCTTTATAACCTTCAAGCCAAAGGGCCTTCTTCCTTCTAGTTTCACTGTTTGATTCCTAGCCTTCTGAAAGGGCTCGTACATAACACATTAGCATTCAACTCCTAGCTGTGTTCCTTCACTCAGTTCCTACCCCTCTCTCCTCCTCTGTAGTTGCTGGTCAAATTCCCCTGAGAGCTGGGACAGCCAGGCAGCCCGAGGGACACTGCACAAAGGAGTCACTTTGCTTATCTTTGGTAAAAAGAGAGTCTAAATCCAAGGACAGGCTCTGCCACCTAATCTCCTTATGAGGCTGAGAAACCCCACGGATCTTCAGTTTCCACACCTGCCAAATGTGGGTGATAATCCCCTCTCCTTGCTCTCAGAGTTGCTAACTTCACTTGAATTACTGAAAGTGAAAACAATTTGAAAAATATAATGTAATTTACAAATTAAAGGGATCATCCTGAAAGAGAGAAGCATGACTGTGAGCAAATTTCTTGGTTTATGCTGGATTCCCGGGTCTTCCCTAAAACCAACTCAAACCATGTTTTGGTTAGTGGCTCTAGCTTCCTAACTGCCATTTAGATGGGGATATAATAGAGAATTCTGGGCTAGGACAAAACTATTTACTGTCTGCCTTTGCACTTCTAACTCTCCGTAACTACCAAGGGATGTGCACTTGGATCTCCGAGGCTGCATCTGAGCTGGGATGAGGCTGGTCCTCAGGGTGGAGGTGGGATAACTGGCCTACTGCCTTATTAGAATTTACTGGTCACTGTACAGGAGTCCTTGTCATACTAATAGCTTTGGAATGTGGGCTGAAAACTCTCAACTTGTTGCAAAATAAAAATACGTGGGAAGTCTCAAGAGCTTAAAGCAAACACAGTAAATGTGAGTGATGCATGATGTCTCTGATTATCTAAGCCACAAGGCTGGAGAATGCATTAATAGGGCAGCACAGATCATAAATCTGTGACTAAAGAAAGCAGTGTGGCAGGAGGCCCTTTAGAGTTGGAAACAGATTAGACAGCATAATGGTCAGAGTTGGATGAGATTAAAATACTGAGATACTTGATAAAGGAGATGACACAAATCATTTTAAGGCTTTTTTAAAGTAAACTCTATCCCCAATGTGGGGCTCGAACTCGTGACTCTGAGATTAAGATCGCACGCTCAAATGACTGAGCCAGCCAGGAGGCCCCCATTTTAAGGCTTTCAAGGAAAGTAGTAGTTTGGTGAAAATTGTGACCTTAATGGATTTGGTCACTTGGTCAACAAGAGCTGGACTTTGTCTAATTTACTCATAATCCTCAGTGTGAAAACAGTGTCTTACATTTAGTAAGTACCTAATAAATGATAATCAATAAATAGTAAAGAAGTATCGCATTAATTTTGTGGAAGCCCAAGATGAACTGTCATTCTCCACGGCCTCTCTCCAGGTGGCTTTTCATCACTCAGTATCTTGCCTGAGCTTCTTTGCGGCATAGCCATTGGCGATCAAGAGGAGAGTATCCATTAGGACATTCCTCCGTGCATAAGCACTTACTAATTAAGCTTCTGCTGCCTCTCATTTACTGATGACCCATTGGCCAAGCAAGTCACACAGCCCAGCCTGGGGTCAGTGTCGGAGGGGATAAGATAAGAGTGTGAATACTGGAAGGTGGTTCATTGAAAGCCGCCAATGTAAACGCCTCCCCTGCCAGTGTAAATGCCTCCTACAAGCCTGGGTTCCTGTCTCTAGCCACATGCGGAGCCCTTAGTCTTTGTCATTCTTCAAGAGCTGAACCCAGTTCATGTCTCCCTGCTTCCACAAACAGAGTCTAGGACCTGTGGTGGCTTTGGTCGGGTTACCATTTTGCATTTTGGTTCTCTTTTTGGCACACGGAAATGTTTGTTCTCTTTGAAATCACAGCTGTAACATTTTGATTTCCTCCTATCTCTTTTTCTTTTTGAAGCAGAATGAGGAGTGAATCATCTCAAGATATTAATTGAAAATATTATTTCGGCTGCAAGTCTGGCTCCACATCAAGTCCATTTTCCTCGGTAAGATCCTCCACCAGCTTGCTTCAACTTTTGCTGGAAATGCCACCAGAAATACCTGCTTATGACCGGCTTATGTTCACTGGAACAGCCTGTAGTTTTCTCAGCCCTCTCCCCTGCCACAGAGACTCAGCAACAGTGGGCCTTTATTAATTATTTATAAAGGCCAGCCTATCCTGCAGTATTTAAAACACAAAGAACATTTCAAGGAAAGTGGATTGCTTTTTACTATTGGCAAAAGGTATATAAAAACTAGGAAGGATTTAAAAAACTTTTAAAACATAGGGGCTATGTTTAATATTCCTTGTATTCCCCACAAAGTCTTCTACAGAGTCAGCACTCAGTAAATGTTTGATGATAAAGGTAGAAAATATTCTGTTTTGAAGAAAGATCACAACTCTTTTGAAGGAGTATTGGCATCAGGATCTCAGAATTTCAACTGGGTATTGTGATCAGAACTATGGCACTGGCAAACCAGGGGATCAAGAAATGGGCTTATTGATTGAAGGGGAGTAAGTCGGAGGGGGAGACGAACCATGAGAGACGATGGACTCTGAGAAACAAACTGAGGGTTCTAGAGGGGAGGGGGTGGGGGGATGGGTTAGCCTGGTGATGGGTATTAAAGAGGGCACGTTCTGCGTGGAGCACTGGGTGTTATGCACAAACAATGAGTCATGGAACAGTACATCAAAAACTAATGATGTAATGTATGGTGATTAACATAACAATAAAAATAAAAAATCAATAAAAAAAAAGAAATGGGCTTATTATACTTTCCAGGGTCTCTGCCCACACCCTGTGTCTTAAAACCTATTGCAAAAATGAAAAGGAGACCAAAGCAATGCTGTAGCATCTGGTAGTGTTGGTGCGATCTGGGCAACCAACTGCAACTTATTTAAGCTTGAATAAGTATCCTTGAGCCTTCATTATCTTTATTCTCTGATGCTTCAATATTAGTGCAGCGTATCTATTCCTACTTGACTTAAATAACTTTAACTCATTAAAGTTAACTCACTGATACACTTCAAATCCTACAATCAAAATGCTCTTTGAATTATATCACTGAACTGTAATTTTTAAAAAAGATTTATTTATTTAGTTTTAGAGGGAGGAGGGGCAGAGGGAGAGAATCTTCAAGCAGACTCCCTCCGCCCAACCCCCACTGCTGAGCCGGACGCTGGGCTCAATTGCACGACCCATGAGTTCAAGACGTGAGTCGAAACCAAAAGTCAGACGCTTAATGGACTGAGCCACCCAGGCACCCCTGAACTGTAATTTTTATATGGCACACTCCATAAAATATTTTTAATACATTTTATTGGGTATATAATATGTTTGTACTGGGACTGTACTGGTATTAGATAAAAAAAATTCATTAATACAACTAAAACTTATTCAATGGATCTACTACCAGGAACAAACCCTGCCTCAGCTTACTATCTGGCCAGGAGGGCAGACATTTAACAAGAAAATTCAATTGCCAGTTTTCAGAAAGAAGTCCATGTGAGATCCCAAGAAGACCCGCCTTCGAGAATCAGGTTGAGGGGGATGGGGGCTGGCAGCCAGGCAAACAACTTGACTATCACCTGATAACTGTTATACCAGCATATGGCCAAAGTACTATCAAAATACAAAAGAGGATCCAATTCCCTCTGGAGGCTTGGGGAAGGTATCAGAAAGGAGCTGAAATCTTCAGGGGATAGGCTTTGTACAGGCTTACAAGGGGTGCCAGTGATAAGAGCTCAGGAAGGCATCTGCTCTTGAAAGTGTATGCCTGGCAGACCTGGGGGACCTCCAAGCACCAAATGGAAGGGGTGGAGGGCCATCAGACCACTTCCACGGATTCATTAGCCTCCTGGCCGAGCACCACCATAACCAGGGGAACCAGGCTGAGTGGGAATTGATATTTCAGGTCAGACCTTAAGATTTTTTTTCTTCGGGGTGCCTGATAAAATACAAGATACCCAGCTAAGTTTGAATTTCAGATCAACAACGAGTAATTTTTTTAGTAAAGTCTCCAACGTTTGGGATATACTTGTATAAAGAGTATTTATATGAAATTCAAATTTTTATAAAATTTGATTTTATTTTACTCTTTATCTGTGTATTTTTATTTGCTACACCAGGCAACCCTAGCAGGGTGGCTAAGAACAAGCATCGTTTTGCTGCGGCACAAGATAACCACAAACACAACGCCACCACGACCCCGGTAGCCTTCCGCCCCAAAAGTCTCTCCAATTCGAAGCCAGTGAAAACGGGCTTCCAGAAAAAGAGACGCCGTAACTGGATAACCGAGACGCGAACCCACCCGACATTCCGCAGAATTCAGGTTTAGAAGTGCGTTGCATCCTGGGAGTGAGTTTTCTTAAGTTCAGCTTCGCTTCCAAAGGCCATCAGACTACAACTCCCAGCAGCCCTAAAGGCTCGCTGCGAGTCACGCTGGGATTTCTGACTTTACCCTGAGGAAGGCTCCTGGTGGGCTGCTTGTGTCAGAAGAGACGAGGGACGGTTTCTAGAGATTCGAGACACTAAGAATTCATCTAAAAGGTTAAACCGAGGATTACTACTTTCGATGCAGAGAAAACTAGTCTTCCCGAACATTGCGAAAACATGTGCCTACGCGCGCTGACGTTACATCCCGCACTGAAGGGTGGGGACTGAGCGGCGCTCCTGCACGTGACGCCAGCGCATCTTTGCGATTGGCCGCCTCGGGGGCGCGGCGCTCGGGCGCGGACGCCCCGGATTGGTGTTTCGGGGTAGCGGGGTGGGACTCTGGCTGCAGCCGCGGGAGGTCCGGACACTGGCGGCCATGGGACTCGCCGGTAAGTGCGCGTCTGACCCTGCGCCGGCACTCTCGGTCGCTTCCGGATGGGACTGGGCTGCACCCGTGGGAGTGTGGCCGGCGATGGAAGGGGCGAACCTGGCGAGGCTTAGAAGCTCGGAAGTCGGGGTCGAGAGCCTCCGGAGTCGAGTGGGGCTGAGGGTGCGCTGGGGCGGCCGCGCTGGAGCCGGTTCCGCCGAGACCGAGGCGGACAGGGTGAAGGGCTCTGGGACCCCCAGCCTCAGACCCCTGCCCACGGTCTGGCTATCTTCCTCCTTTTGGGCCTGGCGAGACCCTGCTTGACTCCAGCGGGGTCGCTTATTGAGCGGGGTCGTCCCTTCCTTGGCCCTGGCGCTCCCCGGTGATCTCTCAGTGAGTGAAGCCGGGGAATTGCCCAGGGTGTGGGTGTGGAAGCACCGTCCTCTTGACCCACGCCCCCGCCGGTCTCCGTAAAGCTCCTTGAGCGCCTCTGCTGCTGACTGCCCAGGGACCCGTTGGCCATGGGTGGGTGTAAATTTACGGCCATCTCGCATTTGCCACTTTAGTGGCTGGGTGGGGACCTTGGGCAAATCGCTCAACTTGTTCGGCTTCTCATTTGTAAAGCAAGGGAGGTATTCCTGGGTCTCCAAGCCTCTCGTCGGCTTTAAAATCTAAGATTCTGTGATTGTTCCGTTTGTTCAGCTTTTACGCCATAAAGATGTTAGGTGTGATAACCCGATGGAAGTAGGCTGACTCCTCACAGAACGTTTGCAGGTTAATGACAAAACTTCAGATAATTTCATGTGGTTCTTTACTCTTTTTTTTTTTAATCACTCATATTTTTAAATTGAATACAACTGAAAATTCAGGTTTAGGTGACAAACCACAGTAAGAAAATGTTACTGAAACCACTTAAAAGTACAAAACTGAAGAATCCCAATATTTGGTAATCTTGAATCTTAATTAGTAAATTCAGGTCATCAAACACTTGCTGAGTATTTCTGAGAATATATTTAAAATATAGATGACTTTGTTGGCAAGAAGAGATAATTAAGGGTTTACACAGGCTGTTACTTTGCATTTCCTGAGTTTGCCGGTGAAATCAGAAACTCAGACCTTAGGATGGCTTTTCATTTTATAGTTCAGTTTCCGGAAGTGTGGAGGTCTCGTTTGTCAATCTGAGGAAGATTTTCACTAGCTTTCCAGGACACTTTAGCTTTAAAAGTAAGAATCTGTGATAGTACTGAATACTGAGTAGGCATTTTGTGCTGATGAGGAACTAGAGGACCCCTGAGATTAGTATTTCCTACTTTAGATGTAGAAAATGGCCCCAGATCCAGTCCATCTCGAATTGAGCCCTTATCTTTAGACTTCAAACCAAAGAGAGGGACACTTCTGGAAGAAAGGCCTACGTAACTGAAAGAAAGGTTAAGAAAATGAAAGCAGTTTATCGCCCTCCTTGAATAAGGAAGAGGAAAACGTAGATGGATGTCAGCAGCATGTGCTGTAGGAGATACTTGAAAAAGCTACTGTCAAAAAGACACTTCTAGCTCCAGGTATATTTTAGTATAAGCCACAAAGTGAATAGCAAAATTGTATGAGATTCGTTGCATCAGTGGCTAAGCTCTAGAGCAGGGTTGGCAAACTTTTTCTGGAAAGAACCATATATTTAATTATTGGAATGAACTGGTTTGTTAGCACATTCTTCTGTACTGTGATGTAACAAACTAATCTTTAAAAATTATGTGTAGCAGTATTTTTAAAGCAAAATTAAAATGTAAGGGCGTTGTGGAATCTAGTTTTGTTGTAGAGCACAGAGTAAATACTAAGCAAGTAAATGTCAGGTGAGTAATTTCATTATATGCTTGTGTTTTATTTCTCGGGGGAAAGCTAAATTTACATTAGCATAAAACAGTGTTTATATCTGGATTTGGAAAAGGTAATGTATTTTGTCTCTGAGCTGAGATCTTGTTTTACTCTGTCTTTCAGGTACTAGACAACACATAACCGAGTTGCTCTGAGGACAGATGCCTAAACCATCTCAGCATGGCCTATAGAGGAGGGGGTGGGCATGGCCAGCCTCCCTCAGCTGTGCGCTCCTGTGTTAGCCCTGGAAGTCTCTCAACATGTAGGACCCGCACCCATAACGTATGCATGGTGTCGGACTTTTTCTACCCTAACATGGGAGGCGTGGAAAGCCACATTTATCAGCTCTCTCAGTGCCTGATTGAAAGAGGGCACAAAGTGATCATTGTCACCCATGCTTATGGAAATCGGAAAGGCATCCGTTACCTCACTAATGGCCTCAAAGTCTATTACTTGCCTCTGAAAGTCATGTACAACCAGTCTACAGCCACGACCCTCTTTCATAGTCTGCCGTTGCTCAGGTGCATATTTGTTCGGGAGAAAGTCACGATAATCCATTCACATAGTTCTTTTTCTGCCATGGCCCATGATGCCCTCTTCCACGCCAAGACAATGGGGCTCCAGACAGTCTTCACGGACCATTCCCTTTTCGGATTTGCTGATGTCAGCTCGGTGCTCACAAACAAGCTTCTAACTGTGTCTCTCTGTGACACAAACCACATAATTTGTGTCTCTTATACTAGTAAGGAAAACACTGTGCTAAGAGCAGCACTGAATCCTGAAATAGTGTCCGTCATTCCTAATGCTGTAGATCCTACTGACTTCACTCCAGAACCATTTAGAAGGCATGATAGTATAATAACTATTGTTGTTGTCAGCAGACTTGTTTACAGAAAAGGTAATGAAATGATAGCTACAATTGCACTGCACAGACTTCTTTTTTTCTTGTAGAAAGCTGTTGAATACTTGAATGTAATGATTGGCTTTTCATTTTGTTCTATGGTTTTATAACTACCTCTGCATTAAATATAGCAAAGAAAGGTCTAATATTGTCTTATACATCCAAAAAAATTTTTGGAACGGTGGTGAATGCTTCCCCCCTCCACCTTTCATGCTTTAAGAGTTACTTAAAAATAAAAACCGTAATCTGATGCTGTTTAATAGGTCAGGTCTTTTTAAAGTTAAAACAGCCGTGTATGTGTGGTAAGAAGTAAAAGGCTGAGCCCACCATGTAGTCCATTCTTTCTGATGGCAAAATCATGTCTTTCATTGCAGGTATTTTAAAAACTCAGAAAAAGCACAGGGGTGAAAATTAAAATCAGCTGTAACTGTACTATTCAGGGATGACCCTTAGGAATATTTTGATTTACAACTCTCCTGTGTTTTATGCATATCCTCAAAATCAGTGAGCTCGTCCCACATGTGGCTGTTTTGCGGCTTGCCTATTTCATTTGGTCACAGATTTAGACAATTAAGAACGTGTAGGCAGGGGAGTGGTGAAGGCAGGGAGATTAGACGGCCTGGAGTCTGATCCTGGCTGCATCCCGTTGTGTGATTGGGGACAAGCTACTTAACATCTCTGAGTCTCAGTTTTTTCCTTTGTATGATTTGGGCAACAAGGGGAATCTTACAAGGGTTCGGTGATGGTTCCTCTGAAGTACTTAGGCCAGTTGGTATTTGATAAGTGTCTGCCGTTACCAAGGAGGATTTTTATTTATTTATTTATTTTTTTAGTGCCTCTGCAGCACTTGACATGGCAGTCGCATCCGTAGAGCCTCGTGTACTAGAAGCTTGGCACAGTCTGGTTATTCAGAACCTAACTGGTCTTCTGGATGGTATTTGAAAACCTGTCCAGTAATCAAAATTATCACTTCAAGTAGGGAATTATTAAAAAAAAAATAACATGTACCCTTCCTTAAATACTTGAATTTGACTCAAAGTGTTATTAACGTGCACTGAGTTGCCAACAGTCTGACGTCAGCTTGCAGGCGTTTAAGACTACTGGTTTACCGCTTGGAGCTGGCACAATCTCCTTCAAAAAGCATAATTTATAGTTGCCAATTTGGGTTGTTTTTTTTTTTTAAGCGGGGTGAGAACGTAATGGTATATGAAATAATGTACTTCTGGATTTTTAACTTGTTTTTTTTTATTTTATACAGTGGTTTAAGATACCCCCTAATCTGACTAGAGCTTTTTTCCATAACTTTGCTTTGTTGGATTTTTTGAACCATTCAGCTTAGTTTCATAGAAACTTATTCTGTCAGTTTATGTGCTGTTTAACTAAATTACCCAATGCAGTAACAAGTGTAACTGGCATCAAACACGTGGACAAATGCAGCTGATTGTTGGTAAGCACGAAGCTCAGCAGTGGGATCAGCAGCGTCCCGGTGTGCTAGGGAGCGGCCTGAAATCCACGCATGGGCCTTGGTCAGTAGGCTTTATATTTGGAACAGAGCCTTGGTTGATCCAGCAATCCACTTAAGCAGAGGTTGGTGGGAAAACCGCTGAACTGCGTTTTCTGGGTGAAGGCATGCTCTCGTGATGTGCTTTCATTCTTGAATCAAGAAGATGTGAATGGACCAGCATTCTCTGTTCTGAATCCCTCTTGGGATATTGGTGATGTGTTTGTTGTAACTTAGAAAATGTGCCTAGTTTGTCCTTTAATCACACAGTATACCTTCATGAGATAGCTAGCCGAGCAAGCGTATGATGCACGCATGGTCGAGGATCAGAGCAAAATGAACTATTTGTACAAAGATTAAACCTGTTACCTTTACTTCACTAGTGATGGTATTTTAACCAGCTGAGCTAACCACCAGCCACAGAGTGAAGGTATGGCCTGTCATGTTCTCAAATTCACTACTTTGACAAATATTGAACCCTCTCCATATGCCAGGCACCGTGCAAAAAGTAACATTTTCAGAAGGAACGGCCACATCCGTAGTCCAAAAGTGAGTAGCTGTATTTATGGTCCGTTACTTATTAATTAATTAATTAATTTCCTTAGGAGGTGTTCCTTTGGACCAGTTCTCAAAGGCCCACTGCCACATATTGAGAGAGAGAGGATAAGTCCCAGTTCTTATCACCCAGGTTTTCTGGCTGCCTTCTTCCTCCTCTAGAGCCTGTTTTGCTCTCAGTCAGGGTTTCCCAGTGCTCCTGTGCACGTGCAGGCACACCCCACTTCCTGCTGTGGTGGTAATGACAACTTCCATTTATATTCTGCAGTTGATAAAGCCTGTGCATGGTACAGTACCTCACTTGACCCAACAGCTGTAGGGTAGATGTTATCTGCATGTAACAGACAAAGAAACTGAGTCTCAGAGAGGGTAAGTAACTCACTCAGGTTACACAGTAAGTATCAGAGATAACAAACATGAGTTCAGCTCTTGAGTTAAGGTCTCCTGTTCCCCTCACCTCTGGCCCAGCCTCTAGGTATATGTAGATTGATTAGATTCTTTGAAATATTGTTACACTGCTTTAAAAGCAGTTTGAATCATGATTTTTCTTTGTCCATTTTGTGTGACTATGGCAATTGAAAGCCCTTTTTTATGTTCCATTGTGTTAGACTCCTCTTAGAGGCAGGAGAGTATCTTATTGTTTGGGAAAACCTTTTATTCTTAGAATAATGTTATAGATCATTGATAATATTAATCACTTCTGTTTCTTATGAGGTAGTTGTCAGGATTAAATGACATAATGCACTTAAGGGACATAGGCCGATGTAGTAACCACTCAGTAAATGTTAGTTGTTATCAGCAGTTATGATTATTACTCTATATGTGTTGCATTTTTCATTTGAAGAATGGGTTCTTAACCTTTGTATTAGAAGGGAGAAGGAAAGGAAAGAAAGAAAATGAAAGAATTAAAGGAAGGTAAATGTTAAAAGTCGTTAAGCCACCTTCTGGTTTATGTAGAAATCCAGTTGATGGATTTCGTAATTGTCTCGAAACAAAGATAGCTAAGATTTTAATGAGAAACCTTCACAATTCGGAAAAGCTGCATGTGAATTTATGTTTGCTAATGCAGTCATATTTTGAAAATACTGGCCGAGTTTACTTAAATCCTTACTTTGAATTATTTAATAAAAATGACCCCGCATAAATGATTTCTCCCACCATCTTTTTTTATAATTCATCTGCCTGTATTTGGGAAGATTGATAGAAAAAGTGCAATTCTTATGTATGTGCTTGTGTATGTATGCATTTCTTAATAAACTTTAACTGGGTTATTTTACATTTACTTTTACTTTTGAATGTGTCCAATTGATAGTTGTTACCGAATAGTGTCAACGTTGCTGTCCCTTTAGATGGCCACTTCCAGACTGGTAGGGCGTGGTTTATGTTACTGCTTTCTGCCCCCAGGTTGTGTTTACGTATTATAAGAAAAGTATTTCATTAAAGAAACAAAGGAACCAAGATGCACCCTTTTGTTCTCTGGACTGTAATGATCTGGCAGTTGAGGTCCTGCCACCTTCATGCACTCTCCTTCAAGGGAAGTGGGCTATGTACGGCAGGTTTGGATGGACTGCTCTTAAATTTGGCTAATACAATTGAGTTCGTTCTTTACAAGATCCTCTGTATGTACTGCCTTCTCAACAAAGCGGAGGCTGCAGTTATACTTTGTTGCTTAGCCCCTTCCTGTGGTGGGAAGTGGAATACATGTAGAAATTTTGTAGCTGAGAGAGACCTTGGACTTCACGTACATCTGGTCTCTTCGTTTTCTGTATCGGAAAACTTTCCCAGAATCAAAGAACTTGCTCATGAAACGGCTGGGACGAGACCTAGATCTCCAGTCAGCTGTCAGGCTCTGTAGAAAACTTAAATGTTAGCTACGTCAAATACCTTTTTTAGAAGTAGGTGATGCGTAAACACAAGTGAATAACTTAAAGAGTATTATGTTAGAACGAAACAGAATAGTCCGGGTATTGGGTAACAATGGATGTCAATGTATGTATCTTTAAGAATTGCAACTCTTAGGATACCGCTGGTAGTTTGGACACTCCACCTTCCCAGGAAAGGTTTGAGAGTTAGTTTCTCTACTTAGGGCATAGCTAATACTTTTCAAAGTGAGTGGTTTCTCAGTTCTGATGAGTTTTTTTTTTTTTAAGTTTAAATGTTAAAATTTCCAACATTCAACTTTATTTTATATTTTCAGGGACTGATTTGCTTAGTGGTATAATACCTGAACTCTGTCAGAAATATCCAGATTTAAATTTCATAATTGGAGGAGAGGGACCTAAGAGAATCATTTTGGAAGAAGTACGAGAAAGGTACCAGCTCCATGACAGGTATTGATGGATTCTATATTGTCTTGAGTGAGAAAATATATTACCTAAATGCAGTTTGGGTTACATGTGTCTGTTAAGTGGGCTGCTTCTACATGCACTTGATGTAAAAATGTAACACAAGACCTATTTTAAAAAAGTGTATAAAATGGGAAACCTTAATTTTAACAAATCACAACTTAATTTTTTTTGTTAGTCCAATATTATTTGACTTTTAGGGGCAATGGTTGGAAGTCCCCTGGAAGGCACGTCCCCGCGCACGCACACACACACACACACAGACACAAAACAACCATTTTGGGAATGTTTGTGGATTTTCAAGCCTTGCTGAGTTGTGATTTATATAGCATGGCCCAAATCATGTAAATTGTCCTGCACACACAGATTCAAATACTTCTCTTTCTCAGTAACTTAGAAAGATGTTTGCTGTGAAGCGTCAATTTAAAAGGGGCCTTTTTCTGTTTAGAAATGACTCTTTAATATTTACTCACCAAAGTATATTAACATCTTCACTAAATGCCAACTAATTTTGTATATGTGCTGCCGAAGCGAGCACTAAATGCCAACTAATTTTGGAGAAAATGAAATTTGTATGCGTGACGAAAGTTAGAAATGTGTTAGCTGCATGAGTTTTAACCAAATATACTTTAAAAGACTCTTTTAGATCAGAATTTGAGGATATTAATCTTTTGCGGTGGAAAACATCGGAACCAGCAGTAATCTAAGTATAATGTGAATAGCACACTTGGCTTCTAAATGATATTTATTTTCTAGCATGATTTTCACTCCCTTCTTTTCTTCTTTCATTTCAAAAATCAGAGTGCGTCTCTTGGGAGCCTTAGAACACAAGGATGTTAGAAATGTCTTAGTTCAAGGACATATTTTTCTGAATACTTCCCTTACCGAAGCATTCTGCATGGCGATTGTGGAAGCAGCCAGTTGTGGTTTACAGGTAAAAAGCTTTGAGGGCTTACATGTTGGGGTTCCTGTACTTGTATTCTGAAAAATAAGCAGATGCATTCTGTAGTGACTTTTAATTTAAGTTGGTTTTGCTGATTTTCCTGAGATATGAATTATGGTGTATTGTATATTCTTTTTCTCTTTTTAAGGTTGTAAGTACCAGGGTTGGTGGAATTCCTGAAGTACTTCCAGAAAATCTTATCATTCTGTGTGAGCCTTCCGTCAAGTCCTTGTGCGAAGGTTTGGAAAAAGCGATTTCCCAGCTGAAGTCAGGAGCATTGCCGGCTCCCGAAAATATCCATAACGTAGTAAAGACTTTCTACACCTGGAGGAATGTTGCGGAAAGAACTGAAAAAGTATGTCATGTGCTAAGCAAACGGTATTTGAAGATTGTATCTAAATTCTTGGCGTTTCACATACACGTTTGCTTTTTCTTGTATAGGTTTACCCTTTTTGTTGCTTAAGTTTATAAAGTCTCTTCAGATGAAAAGAAATGCACTGTTGTACTACTTTTGGTGTATGCTAGGCTGAGTTTCTAGTCAACTCATTGCATTTGACATCTGAAAATAGCAGTAATGCCATCTAGACCTTTCATTAAAGTGGGCATAGAGGAAGTTACCGAACTTTCTAGAAGTCACAACCATTAAAGGCCAAACTGATACTAAAATCTACTCTTAGACGTTTTTTTGAGGCTGTTTCTGATTCTAAAGCATGTCGGTCTATTAGAAAATACATGGTTTTGCTTAGTCCGATGGCGGCAACTTTAACACTTGCAAACGTTTAATTCAGGCTACTTCCCAAAACTCTTGCGTCGCCTTGGCTAAGTACCTTGCTTATCTATGGGAAGAGGATTTTTGCATCTCTGGGCTGATTGAGAACATAGTAAGTTAGGATTCAGAATGCACATGACAGATACTGGAAATACCACAAATAAAAAGCGGCGATAGAGAATTTGTAGTTGCTCTCTTAATTCTACCTGTTCTGCACAGGCTGTTTCGATCCTTTTCAACTCCTCCTCCGTAGTTTAACTGTGCTTATTTAGAAAATTGATGAAGAAATTAAATTGGAGTTCACGCTGGAAACATACTTTGTCAACTGTTCTAATTCACCAGTCTCAGCATAATTCGGACTGAAATGTATCCCAGCTGTTTTGAGGGTAGAAGAGCTAGCTGGAAACAGCTGTACCTTTCCAGAGGCCGCTGGCCTGTAGAGCTCGCCCTGCACGTCCCAGCCTTCCTGAGTTCCAAAGGAGATGGCTCACAGGTCCACTGTGTGACAGTGACCACAAGTCATGCTCGAATGCAATCGAAACAGATAAATGCTGGCCTCGTTTATGTGTTCGAACTAAGTATGTTTACGGATCTTTGTTTTTAAAATATTTCTGAATTTTGTGCTTAGCAGCGCTTCCAAACAGCAAGCCACCTACTACCGGTTCTCAGTGGTAAACGTTGTTTTGTTTGCCAAAAGCGTTTGACCTATGCCATCTGCTAAAATTTACCCCATCTTTTTCCCCTTCCTTTTATTTGGAGTCCACGAAATGGTTCTGTATAGTCTCACCATCCATGCTCAGCAACACAGCCTCCCGTGGCTGTGGAAAGAAGAGCCTCTCTGTACTCAGAAGCACACTAGATTAGAGCTCTCTGATGGTGGTTGATGTCTGCCAGCTAGCCGTGAGAGCTGCTCAGCCGAATCAAGGAATCTTAGAAGGCCAGTCCTGCTTCAGGAAGTCACTGCTGAATTAACTATGGCCTCGACAGAGGTGACACGAAAAGCGGTTCCAACTTCTCAGGACTTCGGAATTCTCGTAGTTGGTTAAAATTGATGGTGATCCCCTAGGGGGCAGGAGCCCTGGCATACTCGTCTCTGTGTGATGCAGTGTCTAGCCCAGTGTTTTGTCCAGGATCAGCACTCCATACGTGTTGAATCACATGGCAATAATTACTTTAGTTTCATTAATCACGTCCTTACTAAAACAACAGCAATGAAATGTAAGCGCCTCCCGTTTGCATCTGTAAAGCATCCCTGGTCCGTGCAGGTCGTTGTTTCTTGTGGGTCAGAGTGCTCACTCTTGGCCTCTCTCCCGCCAGGTTTACGACCTCGTGGCAGGAGAAGCTGTGTTACCAATGGACAAACGACTGGACAGACTCATCTCTCACTGTGGCCCAGTAACAGGCTGCATTTTTGCTTTGTTGGCTGTATTCAACTTTCTGTTCCTCCTTTTCCTGAGATGGATGACTCCAGATTCTATCATCGATGTCGCAATAGATGCCACAGGGCCCAAGGGCGCCTGGACTCGTCAATATCCTTACAGTAAAAAAGGGGGCGAGAATAATGAGATGTCTAAACCCAGGTAGAAGAAAGCCTGGATTGTAAGGTTTTACACATTTGTAATAGTCCTAGTAAGACGATTGAAAATAACCTTGCTTTTTTTTTTTTTTAAAGTTAATTTAGTAAGTTATGCTACCTCTATATCATTCAATGTTTTATTTTGAGGAAAGATAAAAACTTATGCAATTCCTGAGTGTAGAAACTCCTTGCACTTAACTTACTTAAGATTTAGGAGAGAACATTGAAGCCACTCAGGTATGAAATTTTTCAGACTACTGAAATCCCTCTAACAGAGATGTTTTAAAATTATATTTTGGGAGCTTTGGGTGCTGAAGGGCCAAATGTTTTCTGGGCATTTTTGGGCCAATTTTAAATGTTCTACCATCAATTAGACATTCACCAGATGTTTACAGGTTTTCTTTCGGGAAGTACAACAACGATATGAACTATTTTTGAGTCCTGTTCGGACACATTTTAGTCATGGAAGTCATGTTCTTAGACGTTTATTTGGTACGCTCAGTGTTACAGATCATCAGCAGGTTTCTTGAGCAAGATGGTCCGTCAGTTATTGGCATGTTTTTAGCATCTCCTACTGTGTGTAGAACAACGAACTAGACACTTCGTGCTGTTGAGGACTAGGGGCGCATTCAGATGCTCTTTTGTTTATCGCTCAGATGGCTCACTTCATTGTAGTCACAGTTGATGGAATGGTAAACTATCTCACATGCCAAAAATGCTCAGGCTTTCAATGCCAGGAACAGTGGTCGGCAGACTCCAGTTACTTCTTCGATCTTGTCGTATGCGTTCTCCTAGGTAGAGCCTTCGTCTTAATTTGTGTGTATGAAGAAGCTTCTTGCTTCTGGAATGCTAGGGACCGATACCACTGTTGATGACAGTGCAGAGAAACCCTCCGCGCCTTCGCAGGCATCACTGAGTCCTCTGTAAATGCCTTCGTGTTTTCCGAGCAGAACGTACGAGCTGTGGCATCGCCAACTCGGCTGCTCCCCTCCGCTACCTTTGATAGAAGTCACTTCCCTTCACTTGTGGCCTAGCTGCTGTCTGAGAAGTCTTGTCAGTGTGCAGAAGTCTTCACCCCAGAATGTGCTATTTATAGCTAATTGAGTCTGAAAATTGTAGGAACACAGTCTCTTTGTGGATGTCTATTGTTAACTGTAATCGTTGTTGCCCAGAGCCATGGGTTTTTAAACCCCAAATTATCCACATGGTGTGTCTTACTAACTCCTTGAACTCCTTAGAGTAAGTTTTTGTGATAAAGGACTGTGAAATCCAAAGAAAGAGGTGCTTGTGGCACACTGGGAAGCTGCTGGCAGTATTGGGGTTCTGTACAGGATTAGTTTCCTTTTGTTTTTTAACGACAACGCTCAGAAAACTTCTTTTTTAAAAAGTATCTTAACATGCCTGTTGACCGGTTGCCACTGATCTGTAAGAAATAACGATTTGTGTTTTGTGCCAAAACACAAATGCGCGAGTGCGATTCTTAAAACCTGGAAATTAAGGGATCTTTTGTTAAAGAAAAATGGACTGACCCCAACCATTAAATCTTACTGGGATTTTTAATGAACAGAAACTGATTTATGTAAATATGAAATAAACAGTGCCAATATGCACGCTAAAGCAAGAAACTGTAACCTGTGTTTTTATTTATTCGCTTCAGCAGTTTTAAGGGCATACTACTGTTTGTTCTTACATTTTTGTTTCTCAGCGTATTTTCGAGATGGCCATTCATTTCAGATGGAAATGGGATTTCAACTTGCATGTAAAATATGTAATTTGCAAATCAAAATTATGTCCTTTGTTTTTAACAAAGGGAAGTAAATTTGCTTGTTCTAGTAAATCTTAATTTTCAGGCTTCCTGGATACCTTAATTGTAACTGTCAGTGTTGCACTGGTCAACATGTGGAAACATATTGTTCAACCCCGCTACTTAACATTTATTTGAAAGTGAACTTGCAGTGATGAGGAATTTACGAAAAATATATTGTATTTCTTTTGATATTACAAAAACTAGCACATATGAAACTGGTTTATGAAAACATGCTACATGTCCAAAAATAAAGACCAAAATGACATTTTGACAATTTTCTGAGTTTGTCTTCTTTGATGAAGAGAATATGATTTTACTCGTTTAACAGTGCCCCCTCCACCCGCTCCCTCGTCTGCTTGCTCTTTCACTGCCATTAGAATTGTTGCTTGGTCTGTTAGTAAAATAGGAACTGTCCTTCAGATGATGAATTACTCTGTCATCTTTTCTCTCTAGAGTACATTGTCTCTCTTTACTCACGGGGTAGCAAGTTGGATTGTGCCTGTGTCCCGATCCACACCAGCCCTGTGTTTCCCTGCGCTGGAGTTGTCGCATGAGACAAGTGAATACATCTAGAAGCTGTTGTGTGTGTGAACTACATAATTACACTTTCTATCTTGTAAGCTATTTTAAAAGGAATTTGAATTTTGATTTCATTTACAGAAGCCCAGCTTCTCCCACCCCTTTTGTTGGAAGCAGTGGAAAGCAGTCTTCTACATTGGTATGTTCTGATTTATCTTACGCCAAAAGTCAGGGTATCACAGGTCTGTGTTTACTTTCGCACAGGATTTTTAAAGGCCTCTTTCTCCTCCGCGTTCCCGAGATGTTAGATTGTTCCCGAGATGTTAGATTGTATCATCCCGTGGCTGGGCTTTTTTTAAATACGGAATTCTAAAAATTCAAGTTCTGTACAAAATTTAATTTGTATTCACTAGTACTTTGGGGAGTTGATTTTCCTTTGTTCTTTATATTTGGCTGTGGCTCAGTGGTTCTTAAGTGGATGTGGTAGGGGATAGGGGAGGAGGGGAGGGGTGGCGATTTTGCCCCGTAGGGGACACCTGGCAGTGTCTGGAGACATTTCTGGTTGTTAACCCTGGATGTGAGTGCGGGTGTTGGCATCGAGTGGACAGAGGGCAGAGATGCTGCTGGATAGCCTACAGTGCTTTTGGATAACCGCCTGCCCCCAACAAAGAATTATCTGGTCCCAAATGTCCGTAGTACTGAGGCTGAGAAACTGTGGTGCCACAGAGGATTTCATCTGTGAAGGATGGTGGGAATTAACCGCTTACTTCAGTGGCCTTTTGTGCCCATCTCGAATGTAATGCTCAAGTGTAGTTAAAGATGGTCTCTCAGAAATAGCATAGACATCCGTTTGAACCTTACAAAGAAGCCGAGCTCCTGATGGCCAACTTGTCTGGTGTATAACACAGAAAGTACAGCCATGTTTTAAATGAAGATTAAGGCCCAAACAAGATTGAATAACGTCCTGTAATATGTCACTGGGCTGACTTGAGTAAAGGACGGGCTTCTTAGAGGGCAGTGTTCTTGTGTTCATGGATGCCTGTGTTCGCGGATTCTCCTATGTTGGCACTCTTTGGGTAGGAAGCTGTAGGTCGGGACTAAGCTGGGTCAAGAAACCCTGTATGTTGATCTCAGTTCTTGGGCTTGGGAACTGCACCGGATCTTCCTGGTTCTGTAATTCACTGAAATGGATGCAGCCTATACTGTGACGCAAGGCTGTCTGCTCACACATCAGCCTTTCCCCAGACTATAGGGAACCCAGTTCTCACAGATGTCGTCGTTCTAATTTGCCTGAGTGCTATGAGAAACTCCCATATTTTTTTGCATAAAGCATTTAGTAAGATTTCTTTAGTCTGCTCTTGCAATTTTCTTTTTCTTGGCTTGCCTTTTTCAATAGTTTGTAGGGATTTTTGAAAATCTAATATAGCCAAGAATGAAAGAGGAGACCTGGGTTTTCCTCATCTAATTTTTGTAGGTGAGGGAAATGAACAAGAAGTTGATTTCCCTTGTATTGGCCCACCGACACACGTTGAAGAGTTAGGGTTGCAAGAGAACTGTCCAATGAGGGAAGGTATTGATACATAGAATCTTTGGGTAATTCACCCGGAATGGAGGGCATCTTCTTCATCCATTTTGCTGTAACTCTTCCACAGTCAAGGAGAGCACCCATATTCCAGTCCGAGGCACCACCTTTACTGACACTTGAAATGGGAAACGCATGATGAGCTTTGCCGGCGGACCTTGTCACAGATGAGACCATGAGAGCAAGTGGTCTAACGCTTTCAGTCGGACACATCCACTTGGAGAGGCATCCAAGAGGAGCCCTTTGCTAAATACTGCCTTAGAGTAAATGGTCTTGTTCAGCTGGTCATATTTTAGTTTGGAGCATTCTCTCCCCAAAAACCTCAGGAGGAAGAGAAAATGAAATGGTCTGGCGTCAGTTCTTCCCACTTCAGATAACTTGCTCCGTCCCCGTGGGATCTGAGAAGTTTGTTTTCTCTCTCCAATAACTGCCTTCCCACATAATGTAGCACAATTTGGGACTTAGGAATAAAAAAGATCCGGCCAGGAATCCTGTGTGTTAAATAGCACTGAGGAATGCAGGTCTAAAAGGAAGTTTCTGGAGTTCATTCCACATTGCTATAAGAGACCGCACACACAGCCGCCAAATCACAGTTAGCTTAGAATGTACGAGCGAGTTCTCAGTAACAGGAGCACCAAGGGCTAGAAAGTTGAAAATAGATGTCATATGATACCAATTATAACTCAGTGAGCTTTTGCAGTACCAGGAACCTATACAGAGTGTAAGCCAAAATGGAAGACAGTCCTGTTTCCTATGGCTTTAAAAACATTTTTATTACAATGTTTGCTACTTTTTTTTTCTTCAAACTTTTAATTAAAGTTTGTTTGGCTCTCCTAACTCACTTCTATATCGTCAAAGGAAATAGAAAACAAGCGGCTAGGATAGCAGAAGAGATCTATGGTGGAATTTCAGGTAAAAATACATGGATTTGCTCCTAAAACTAAAAAAAAAAAAAAAAAAAAAAAACCCTCCTAGATAGCTCATATGAATAATATTTCTAGAGGGCAGATTTTATTTATACTTCGGCTTTGTGTGGGTGGTTTTAAAAATTATTTAAAGTAGCAAATGATTTTGACTGCACCAATTTGAAGGATTTTCAGCTTTATTTTTTGCAAGTTTGTAGTTCTGTTAGTGGTTCTTATTTAAGAAGTAAATAGGGTAGTGGCTTTCTAAGAGTATTTGCAGAAACCTCATTTCTACTAACCTAGAGAATGACTTATATGGGATTATTTTCTTTAATATTTTTAAGCAAACTTTAGCAATCCATTCTAACAAGACTAAGTTTCCTCAGGAAATAGAATGACCAGTAAATCTGATTTAAAGCAGCAAATGTGGCATGCTATATATATTTTTGTGTTGTCATTTGCAATTCGAATCCATTAGCTACTCAGTCACTGTCAGGAAAAACCCTGCACTAAACCCATTTATACACGGCGCTGTGCAAAGCCCTGCAAACAAAGGTTTTTCTAATATGAAATGCCAGCATTTGGGAAAAACATTTTAAAGTCTCATGCTCTGTAGGGTTTAGTCTCCAGTTCTCTGAAGAAACGATTCACCTTAATTGGAGTGAATTGCTACAAAAGTAAATGAATCGGATACACTTGTCACTGCTGGGATGGTCACTTGATAGAGGAGTATTTATTTGTAAACAGAGTTTACCATTTCCCTCTGTATTCTTAGTGTTCGTAGGGGTTCCAGGATGATGTCATTGCTGATCTAGTATCCATGTCAATTTGCACCCGGGATTCTCTTTCAAAATAGACCTGTGCAATGTGATTCCAATACACTAGATTAAGTTTGAAGACACCAGACGAGAGTAGTCTCATCCTCCCCAAAAATAAGACCTCCCAAGACAAAGCCTCAGAATGCTTCCGTTCACTGGAGGAAATGAGGAGAACCTTGAAGTTTCAGGAAGTGTCAGAAGGCCTGGAATGTGGAAAGAGGTTTCTTTCGGGGATTACATTTGTCACACATTTCAGGGAGGTATGTTGCTTAGACTGCTTTAAAAAAAGTTTCTCTTTCATTTCGAATTAAGTGTGATCTGAAAATCTGTTTTCTGATTTAGTATGTAAATGTGGGCAGGGGCTTTCTAAGAGTTTCAGTAACACGGTGTGGATGTTCTTGTAGATTGATCCTCCTCACGGCTTAAATGAGGTAAAGTCCAACAAAGTCCATATTGGCAGGAGCATGTTAAGAATGTTTTGTCCTGTTGCTCATGTGCATTGTTTCTGTCTTTGTCATCCTGAATTAAGTACACTCTTAAAAAAGATTCGATAATAGTCAAAACCCATGTAAACAGGGTTTGGATTTAGGTCTGGACCATAATACAGATTTCTTAAATAGAGCTCATTCATTCTTTACCTCAAATGTCCTCATTTGGTCAAGCTCCTAGGATAATATTCATTTAATTTGCAAGTAGCATGGTGTTAGAGAGTCAGAAGCGTATTTTTTGATTATCATTAATGAGGCGGGGAGAATAGTACATGCCAATTTCTCAGTTTAATTTCCTTTCTATGTATACATATATGTGTGTGTGGATGACTGTGTATGTTTCTGAATACACACACGCACCCACAGGTATATGTAATAGACAGTATATCCAGATGTGGTACATAAGGCTTTCTATAATAATGTAGGCAGCAGCATGCCAGAAACTGGTTCTTTTTTTTTTTTTTTTTCTTTTGACACTGTTAGGAGTCAGATGCTATATACTTAAAGCTAGATGTATTAAAAATAAAGAGCAAAATTTTGTGCCATTCTTCAGGTCAGACTGGAAATTCTCTTTGCTGCTCACGGGTCAGACAAATGTCGGTTGGGAAAATATGTGACAATCAGTAAGTTAGCTAATTGACTTAGAATAAGGCTCAGTCCAAGGTTAAATTTCTTGATTCCAATAGCATATTATGTTCCTGTAAACTATCATCAGAGCTGTCAAAAACAAGGGGAGGGTAGTTAAAAACTCAGCCAGGACATAGTTTAGCCTGTCATAGGTCCTGGCATGCTTTCTTTTGGAAGCTATACCTAGCAACATGTCCCTCATTAAATATCATGTAAAATCTTCTGGAATTGTTTTTTATTCTGGACTCTCATATTCTGGAATGCATCATTCAATATGTCTTTGTGGCTTAAGCTATTACATTTGTCAATAAGTTACCAGACTTGAGGTAAACTAT